ACGGCCACTGCTCTATGGACTTGAAACTGTAAGGGTGCCGACAGGTAATGCGGTCCAAGTCATTCCAACATTCTTTGTCGGCGTAAGCCTTCCTGATATCTTCTTCTCGCGCCGCTCTCGACTCGCAAGCGCTGGTGGTCATGGCGGCAACTGTGATCGAACCGACGTTCCCTACCTTGAACACGACGCAAACCATTTAACAGATCTGAGCCACGCGAAGGACAACAATGCAAGCGCAATGCAAGAACAAAACTACCTCCCGCGGCAACGAAGTGCAAATGCACAACTACAGGTCATTGTTTCAATCTACAGGTACAGCACGCAACGATGCCTTCAACCACAGGTGCGCTAAGGTCCAGCTGCTTACTTACTTCCAAGTGGGACACTGAGTTGCAAGCCGAAACTCGGTGCCATGATGCTGTAGAACCACTGCCATTCCCAGCGCTCCTCCATGGCATGCGTGACAAAAGCTGCCATACGAGCATATACGAATATCAAGACAAATTACCAAAAAAACAGCTCCATACCATGATGTCGAGGATCTCACATGTTTACGCGTTTTCATATGGAAAATCTCAAAGAATTCACCAAATAAGCTCGGTACCGTGATGCCGTGGATGACCTTAGTTGCACGACTTTCTCTGTACAGTGAAACTGTGAACAAAGGATAGCAAAATTGCGCAAACAAATGAATATCATGATGGCACGGATGACACCCTTTTCATTACATTTCGCTCGATGCACGGACAGTCCCTGTAGGATCGAGCCCGTCAAAATTCCGTGTTTAAAAGATCATTCTTCATTGGCTCGCACTTCCTGTTGGATGGACAGCAACTCGGGATCCTTGGCCCAACGCGCATCCGACACCACAGATTGAAAGGTCGGGCTTGCACGAAGCCAGCGGCTCCACTGTCTATTCACTCTGCATAGCTTGTACCACGCGTAAAGTGAGACCCAAGCCAGAATCACCTGGAAACAATGCAAGTCCAGTCGGGCCAACACTGGAGCTGCCAACTTTGCGTCAAGCTTGGGAAGCCAGAATTCAGCCAGCATTTGTTTACCAACACTGGAAGGGCGAGCGACAAGAGAGACCACAGAATTCTCATCCGCAAGCTCACGAAGGATAGTCAAACTCTCACGAGCCGCGAATTGGCGATGACCTTCCGCTGCAATGCAAATGCTTCTTTTGCCACAACGTCCTCCATGATGTGTTTCTATGCGACCAACCAAGTCGCCCAGTAAATCCCCCACAGTCATCCACTGCAGTAAATGCTCTTGGTATAAGAGATCGACGCTGGCATCTCGTGGGTCCATGTCGAATAGAAAATGAAACTCAGGAAGGGCACTCAGCTGCTGGAGCGGCCAGATGCTCAAACGAAAACAAATCTCTACCGACATGGGCTGCGTCTGCGCCAAGTTCGGCGACACGTGTTCATGGACAGCTGACAGTATCGAACCAGGCCGTTCTCTTCGATGGAGATAGATGTCATCCAGACGACGACGCAAGGCACCGGGTTCCATGTCAGCAGCTATAACCCCGCCGACGTCAAAGCAATTAAAACTGCAGTCCACACCAAGTAATTTCACCATGAAAATTCCTACATGCCATGATGCCGTGGATCACATATGTTACAATAGTTCACAGATACAGACTGCAAGATCAGAACATGCATTTCACAGAGATGCTATTTCGGACAAAGAAAGGCGGAGCCACTCCCTGCCCTGTGAAACAGCTCCTAAGCGGAGTTCTTCCAATTTGGCAGCCGATGCGTCGTCCACCTACAGCATCCGACACACTGCCACCACAAAACAACAATCATCCTACAACATTGCACCATGTGAAAAACATTTAACTTTCGTCATAATCCTATTCTGCCCCACCGGACCTGCGTGCGTGGTGCCAAGACATCCAGCAATCGAGCGCGCAGCTCTCCAACCACAGGCCACTTCTTGTCCGGTCCACGGCCAACATTCCGAGCATCTGCCATTTTGCGAAGCTCCACTGCGGAAATTTCTGCCAGGGCATCCTGGAGCCATTCACGACCCCTGGTCACAGCACTGCTACGCAGCTCCTGCAACCGAATTTCCACGGCAACGGACGACGCGGTCGCATGCTCCATTCGCACGGACATTCCCTTCAGCAAATGAAACAGCGACCACAAAACGTCCACAAACGTCACGGGTGCGCGACTTGAACCAAACATTTTGCATTCAGAAATTCCGAGACATGCATATCTGTTCGCTAATTCCTAATATTTTTCCTAATATTTAATGCTAATCTTCATGTTCACACTGACCGAAAGGCATCTTGTCCATTCGTTCACATCCGAGCCCAGGAACTATACTTCACTATGTCTGCAAACGTTTGCAACAGATCTCGATGCCATGACATGCTTGATTTCAAAACAATGCCATGACATGATTGATTTCAAAACAAAACAATGCCATGACATGATTGATTTCAACAGGACCATACTCTGTCATTGAGCGACACTCGTCCAAACAACAGCATCGTTGTGTGGTCTCAACCTTGGTGTAGCGCGCACCATCGAAAGCAGTTGTATTGCTGTCCTCATCACTCTCATTGCAACCAAACGAACCGAGCTCCACACGTCCTCGCACGGATGCACTAGCAAGCATTTTCACCGTCAATCTCTGCCAGTTCCATGTCGTGCGGTAAAACTACACACAAAAGTTTTTACACACACACGCTTTTACACATGGTGCTTTTACACATACACACTTTGACACGCAGACGCTTTGACACACAAAAACCTTTACACACAAACGCTTTTACACAGAGACGCTTTTACACACAGACGCTTTTACACACAAAAACTTTTACATACAGACGGTTTTACACACAGACGCTTTTACACACAGACGCTTTTACACGCAGATGTTTTTTACACACGCATACACGCTTTCACACACAAACACTTTTACACACAGACACTTTTACACACAGACGCTTTTACACACAGACACTTTTACACACAGACGCTTATACACATAGAGGCTTTTACACACAGACACTTTTAAACAAACGAAAGCGTCCATCGCAATTTTTCCTCAATTTTTGACGTCCAACGTCCATTTCGTGCTCGTGCGAAGCATCATCACTCTCATGACACGCAGACGCTTTGACACACAAAAGCCTTTACACACAAACGCTTTTACACACAGACGCCTTTACACACAGACGCTTTTACACACAAAAGATTTTACACACAGATGGTTTTACACACAGACGCTTTTACACACAGACGCTTTTACACGCAGATGCTTTTTACACACGCACACACGCTTTCACACACAAACGCTTTTAAACACCGCTTTTACAAACAGACACTTTTACACAGACGCTTATACACATGGAGGCTTTTACACACAGACACTTTTACACAAACGAAAGCGTCCATCGCAATTTTTCCTCAGTTTTTGACGTCCAACGTCCATTTCGTGCGAAAGGGTTGCGATGGACACCTCAAAGTCGCAATTTTTCCTCAGTTTTTGACGTCCAACGTCCATTTCGTGCGAAAGGGTTGCGATGGACACCTCAAAGTCGCAATTTTCCTTCAGTTTTTGACGTCCAATGTCCATTTCGTGCGAAAGGGTTGCCGGGGACGCTTCAAAGTCGCAATTTTCTTCAGTTTTTGACGTCCAACGTCCATTTCGTGCGAAAGGGTTGCGATGGACGCATCAAAGTCGCAATTTTTCCTCAGTTTTTGACGTCCAACGTCCATTTCGTGCGAAAGGGTTGCGCGCGACGCTTCAAAATCGCAATTTTACCTAGGTTTTGGACGTCCAACGTCCATTTCGTGCGAAAGGGTTGCGTTTCGTGGCGCTCCGGCGGCACCGCCCCCGCCTTAAGAGAGAATAGAAAGAAGAGCGAGAGGAGATCTGCAGATGTGAAGGTGTGAAGATGTAGATCTGCAGATGTGAGGGTGTGAAGATGTAGATCTGCTGCAGATGTGAAAGATCTAGATCTGCAGGTGTGAGGGTGTGAAGATGTATCTGCAGCAGCAGATGTGAGGGTGAGAAGATGTAGATCTGCAGATGTGAGGGTGTGAAGATGTAGATCTGCAGATGTGAGGGTGTGAAGATCTAGATCTGCAGGTGTGAGGGTGTGAAGATGTAGATCTGCAGGTGTGAGGGTGTGAAGATGTAGATCAGCAGATGTGAGGGTGTGAAGATGTAGATCAGCATATGTGAGGGTGTGAAGATGTAGATCTGCAGGTGTGAAGGTGTGAAGATGTAGATCAGCAGATGTGAGGGTGTGAAGATGTAGATCAGCAGGTGTGAAGGTGTGAAGATGTAGATCAGCAGGTGTGAAGATGTGAGGGTGTGAAGATGTAGATCAGCAGATGTGAGGGTGTGAAGATGTAGATCAGCAGATGTGAGGGTGTGAAGATGTAGATCAGCAGATGTGAGGGTGTGAAGATGTAGTATAACGGCTGCTTTTTTACGAAGAACCCTTCGCAGGCGCTCTCGGGAAAGATGCAGCGCAATATCTGAGAATCCGACAAAAGGCCACAGCATGCGTTCGACTGTGGAACGGTTGATTGTAGGATAAAATGTCAACAAGAGAGCCAGACTGGACTGCAGATTCAGTCTTGAAGCACTAAGTTGGTGCAAACAAAACTCAATATGCTCAATAGTTAGCACCTTTCAAGCAAATCAAAGTGAAGGTGAACATATGACTGCAAACATTCAGTTAAACGGTCTCATTATAATTATACAAACAAACAATGAACACCATCTGTGTTGTGGACAATATGTTCAAAATGGAGGTGGAATTTCAAAGATTTTCCAAGCTCTTTGGGGTGAATTCGATCCATCATATCCGTCCTTTCCCTTCTACCGCTCAAGGTTTTGGCCTTCAGTATGCCGCAGAATTGCCACAGCTGGAGTCCATGTATGAAAATTCTTCCACAAATCAGATCAGTCACGATCAGTCTACGTACCTAACTGGATCCGACGCTGTTGAAGCACCTCCCTTTTGCTCCGCAGATTCAAACAATTCAGGTAGCATCCATGTCTAAGGCTGCCAATGGAAACATCTCGAAGCAGCATCATGGAAGCATCGCCATCCCAACTAGCTACCAGCCCAAAGAAGGGCTCGAAGGACACCTTCTTTGAGGTTACCTTCATTGAACTTCACTTATTTTCTTGTTGTTCAATATGTTTCACCAATGTTTCACTTATTTTCGTTTTACATCCCTGGCGCATCTGCCACCATCACCGCACATCGGAAGCCCAGGCATCTGCCTTTGGCTTCTGGGATGCGACCACGGCGGTAGCTGCTGCGCGCCAAATCACATGGGCCCACCCAACTCCCTCCGCGTTCGCTCTTGGCGTCACCCTGGGGAAGCTGATAGAAGCTGGCAGAATGCTGGTAAACCATGGGTAAAAAATGATAAACATTACATAAAATGACATAAAATGACGACATGATACAACATGTTACTATGTTGCTGCCATCTGTGCCGTCTGCGTCCATTTATGGCACATTGTGTGATCATGGTCTGTGAGGCTTTTGGGCCAAGTGTTTTTTACCTTAATCTGAGGTTGCAATCCTGAAAAATGTGGCACCTCGCTGTTCCACGCGTTGGGAAACGAAGCCTCTGAGGAGAGGTAAAAGTTCTCGTGGTAGCTATCCCGGCACCATTGCCAAACATTTCCAGCCATGCCGCGCAAACCAAAAGGTGACACACCCAGCTGCAGGTTCACAGCCACGATGGGCAACTCCGTCAAAGGAGTTGCAACATGACCTGCAGCCGACACCAACATCTTCCACTTGGGCTCTGAAAGATCCAAAAAATATACCCAGGTTTCCCATGGATTCGCCAACTGGTGGAACATGGAGTTCCACGGATGTGAAAAGCAATGAAGTCGCACTTTCTCAACACAAAACTTGTCAGTGTCAAGCAACTCACTCCCTCATAGGTGCTAATTTCCCAGCAAACGTTCAGCAACTCCTCACTGGCATCTGAATCTCCCCAGGGGAATTTGGCGGTTTTGGGGCCACGCGCAGCGTATTCCCATTGTGCTTCAGTGGGCAGAAAACTCACGGCTGCACTCTTGTACTGGGACCAATCCTGTCCATGCGTCCATAAAGCCTCTGCAGGAAGAACAAACCAGCAGAAGTCTCGATGTTGTTGCATTGTTGGATTCTTGAGAAACTTCAGAGAGAAACAGTGAGAAACTTCAGAAAGTACTGTGAAATCTCGGAAAGCCTACTGCAGCTAGACAGCGGAAACATGATATCCAACTTATCACGGCCGCGTAATTCTCCCTTTCATTGACACCAGAGGACGGCTTCCTGGTCCTTGTCTATCTTGTCTACACGACTCCCTACACATGGTCGACATGCTTTCAAGCCCAGGGGCATAGGCATTAGCGCCATACCATGACACCAAAATCATAGGCCAGTTGGCAGGCACACCAGTTTTTGCTTGCCAGCCATTTTCAGTGAAGATAATGGGCACATGGCAGCATCGTTCGTCCTTCGCTGAGGATTTGGAAGCAGGAACTGAAGCACTCTGGCATCATCAAAAGTGATGGTGCAGGACATTTTGGTTCAAAGCTTATAGCAGATTCTAGCCTGCAACAAAGTTCTGTCCTCCTCTGGCAAAATGCACCAGTCACTTAGCTGATCTTGGTTTGGATTCACTAGGTTGAGGAACCGCGCGTAAGCACCAACACACACAGGTTCAATATCCATCAAGAACGCATCCAACTCGACCTCATGACTGGGGCCCTCATTGTCACCAGCTTGGTAGTGCATCCCGTCATTTCCAATTCGTGCCCGCGCGGCTGGGATCATGACACATTCCATGCCATCACTCTTGCGCACGAAAATGTCCTCAATGGATGTACTCCCATATTTGAACTCCGGAGCCTCACCGTGTGTGAGCTGAGTAAATCTGGAAACATAGGTAGCACTTGACTCTCCAGTGCTCCCACCTGTGCCTCGGCTGGGATGCTGCAACAATTTCCATTCCGGTGGACCAATCATCAACCATCCCCGAGAAGGGAATCTCAAGCTTCATTTTGTCAAAATGAATCATCTCCCTTGAAGTCATCCTTCAAATGGAATTGGGGTACCCTAAAACCCAATGGTTTTCTCCCGTATATTTCCACTAAATAGCAATTCTTATATCATTTTATGAGTTCTTGTGGGGTACAGCATGGTATATCCCATTCTTAGACAACTCCATCACAATTTATAACAACTGTATGCCCCACAAGTCTTTCTATTCTTTCTTTAACTCAAGCACTAGCGGAGCTGCTGGTGTTGCCAGCCTCGCTCCTTTCCGGTAACTTCACAATGGCCTCAGAGAGCTGCTCGATGCTCGGATGGTCGAAGATCAGCCGTGGGTTGATGTCCAAGCCCGGGAAGGCGCGGCGCAACTCGAAACTGTCCTCGTCGAATCAGAAGGCTGGGTCATCTTGAAAAAGGTCGACTTGGGATAGGTAAGGTATGCGAAGGATGTTTAAGGTACACTTGATGTATATTAAAGGATATATTATTATTACACCCATACGCCCAAGTCCTTGCAATATTTGCGTTTGACAGCTATTCCCAATCAAAACGCTCGCCACGACCCCTGTCCCGGCACAGACCTTGCTGAAGACCTTGCAAAACCCCTTTCCCCATTGGAAACGCTAGCTTTAACAAGCCTTGACCAAACTATCATGGTTCTATTATGTTCTATTCGTTTTTGATCGAATCCCATCGGAACGCCGGGTTCCAACGGGCCTTTTTTCGTGGGGACTGTTGACGCCCACAAACAAAAACGCGAAGCAGGCCCTTTTCCTAGTTTGTATACTGCAGGATGGGTTCTGATAAAGGAAAAAAACGAGGTCCAAAACGAGGTCCAAAACGAGGTACGGAAAAAGCCCCGCACACATGGACTTTGGCCCGCAAGCCGCAAACCTGCCCTTCCTTGGATCACTGGTAGCGAAACAATGACAATTTGCAGAATCCCAGCACACCGCCATGGCAGTGTAGAGATGACAATCCCAGCGTTGTGTAGAAGTACCCGGAAACAGCAACAGCAGCAGCCGTCGAACCAGCAGCCGCAGCAACAGCAAGACGCCAGTAGCTGCAGAACCCAACAGCAACCATCCCAAACACAATGAGAACGCAACTAGCAAGATTAAAGCACTATGCTAATAGTAAAACAACGCCCTACCCCAAACACAACCTAAACGCCGCTTCGCCACTTTAGGTCTACATGAGATAGTAAAACAGCAACCTACCCTAAACACAAGCTAAACGCCGCATCGCCACGACTTCCACAAAAGCCTTCCCCCAAGCTAATTTCAAGATTTTTGGGATTTCGCCACGACTTGGGCAGTTGGGAGTAGCATATATATTTAAGGTACTGAACAACTTTGGGTAGACCATTTTTCACAACATCGAAACTATCCAAAGTTGAACAATACAAATAGATACTGAAAATTTGAGATGTGGATCTTGAATGAAGATGGGAAAGGAAAGTGAGTTTGGATGCCCTTGCAATGTGACACTCAAAACGATCATCATTTCATCTAGTGCAGGGAGAAGGTTCTGGCCCCATCCTGTTGGAACACCGCCAGGTGAATCTTTGGAGAAATGATGAGAAATGGCTTTGTTTGAACATGTTTGAACATATTATGGTGTCATGTGGTATCTCATGGTATTCTCCCCTGGTTAGTTTCCATCAGCTTTCCCGACCACGGCAATATGTCGGTATCTGCCGAGCTGCTTGGCAAATCATCCTGGAATCACGGCATCGCAGGAGGTTCGCCCGTTTCGACAGCGGCAACTCATCATCTGATGGATCAAAGTCACTGTCCGCATCGAGCTCTGCCTTCTTACTACCTGGGTCATTGATATATTATGATATATCTGGGATGTCTAAACACGGTAGAACAAAAGATCTGATTCTTGCATGAAAACACCTAAGGTGTCAGCTTTAAACAAGTCCATGCACACAAAACATCATAAAATATTGAATGTCAACCTTGGTATGAAGCAAAGTCTGGATCGCTGCCCTTTCGCATCAAGGATTTGTTAAAGACTCGAGACACCTTCTGCATCACCTGCCGCATGATACCAGGCTTCTCCGATTCAGCCATTGCTGACAGCTGCGCTTAAGCGGCTTGGAACTTGGGTCAAGAGTGGATATCTAAAAATATCTAAAATGTCTAAAGTTCTTGAGACCAGCGCATGTCAAAGCAACGCTGGAAGTCATCAAAGGGCAGAATTCAAACTAGGCTTGATCGGCTTGATTCTGCAAGACTGAGATTCAGAGAAATTGTGGATAGTGGCGCTAACACGATGGGCATTCCAAATTCACGACGGCTTCTTTTCACCGGATGCTCGTGGCATGACTGTAGACACCTGCCTATCCAGCATCACTGGAGGTTTGTAGATCTTTTCCGGCGAAAACTCCGAATGGCTTCAAGAATCCCTGATGCCACACTATGCCTAGTTTGAAAACAAGCCCACGAATGCTATACAAAGATTTACGAATTGATATATTGATTCTTGGAAAGTCGCATGAATACATGCCGGGTACAGTATGATGATCATGTACACTTGGCAGGCTTGCCTTCGGCAGCATTAACTGGTTGCAATCACTGCACGTGGCTTTGCCACGTGAGTGGATTGTTTGCGTCAGCCACACAGGCTGGACATGGCTGGACATGGCTGGACCAGGCCGGACCGGTTGCACTGAGCGGCACGTTGAGAAACAGATTATCTTACCAAGCGATCGAAGAGGTGAAGCTCTCATTCATCTGCCTTCAACGTGATGGGTCTGGGGGATCCAAGCTTTAAACTGGGCAAACATCTACATCATGTACAGTATTTGTCCAAAAGTCTCCGACAAAGTGAACATCTTTGACTCTTTCCATTTCAGCGTGGCAAGGCTAAATTCGGTCTCAAGCACATCTGCCGTTTCACACTTGGATCAAACACACATCTCGTACGAGAGTTGGCAACTCTGGTCATGGATCTGAAACCCTCTACGTCCTTGGAATGACACCAAAACATTTCAACTTTCAAGTAACCATCGGTTTTGGGATCATTTTCCATTTGTGTTAACCTCGCATTTTAAAAAATCATCTTCAATGATTTTCGAGTATGCATATTTATCCATATCTATCCGATTTATCCATCCACTTTTTAGGGGGAACCATTTTGACCAGCGCATGACTGGCGATGGCAGTGCCTTCCCATGCTCTTCCGATCGGGAGACTGCCAAGCTGCTCTAGCCTTTCCTGGCGGACAGTTTCCGGGGCCTGAATCGACGCAACAAGCACACCTATCAAATCCCATATATATATAGTTGTATATCAAATGTGTGTATATATATAATTATCAATAATAACAATCATTATTGCTATTATTATAATTGTCATCATATATATATATACAATGTACATATCATATCTCGTATGTATATTATATATATATATAGCTCTAGATTGCCAACAACTGGAATAGCATATGCAATCCTACCTATCTGTATATCGACCTAGATACCCAAGATTACATAGATATACATGATATCAAAAGGTCATTTAGATGCGTATGCTACCAATAATTGGTCACTGCTCAATTGAATTGGACAGGAACCCAACATGGTTAATATGCCAATTTGTGTCCACCTTAAATTTAGACAACATAATCCCCAAGATATGGGGTAGTATAATCCCCCATTATCATCAACCAACAGTGGTCTTTCCGGGGTCAACTGCTTCAAGAACGACAGTCGAGTATTGCGAACGTGTCAAGGCTGATTTCGAGATGTAGAATGGCACGTCAAATGAACTATTCCTGTACATGCGAACATGCATCCAAACAATACTGGCAGTTTACGTATCTAGAATGTCAATGAGTCGATACCTATATATTAAATATTGAGTTTCTATATATATATATATATTCAAACATAAAATATCCCGTTCCTGTCAAAGCCTCCGTTGCACATCCACTTATGCACAGCAAACGTCGCCCCACCCAAGTGCCTCTTCGGGACTTGCCATCCTGGACTGGATTGGACAATTTGGATGATGATGGTGGTGATGCGCCTCTGAACCGACAAGAAATGTTTGCTATCGAGGCATTTTTGTCTAGATCGAAATAAGAGTTGATCGACCTAAACAACCATACTCAACAGAATCATTGTCTTTCATGATCCTTGAGTCCTTCAGGACAATGCTAAGTCAATGAGCACCCATTAACACACAATGCCCCTGGACTTAAACAATGCAAAGCATTCCTGTTGATAGTCAACTATCCATAATATCGTCCTTGTTGATCTTGTTGTATAAAAAATACAACATGCACCTATGACACATTCCAGGGGCTTTCAGCACCGGCTCTCCTGAACTCGTCGCTTCTTCTTTGGTCGACTAACTCCTCCTTCAATGCAGGGTTGTCCCGCGTCATAGTTTTACATATCTTGAGACTGCGGGAGGTCACATCCAATATGCTATTTACATCTATTTACAATGGAAACAATCCAGTCTCTCAATTCACTTTACACTCTGGCTGTAAGATGCTGGTTGCGCTGGTTGCCATTGCGGCCAAATTCCCATGGCACCGGCTCTCCTTGTCCAAAGCCTTCAGAGAAGGTTTGGGCCATGGCATCGCCTCGGCCGAAGCCGCTCATGCTTGAAGCCATGCTTGAAGCACCTGCAGAGCATCAGTATCAGTGGGATGGCTGCTTTCTAAGTTTCCATTTTTTGTCCACATGTTTCATCATATTTGAAAAATATTGGAGGCCCATGTTTCAATATCCCAAAGAAGAATGCTGAATACTGGTTCAATCGGTTTCAACATGTTTCTTTACCATTTTTTGCCTCAAAAGATCTCAAAAGTGTCAATATCTTTGGGGACTGCTTGCGCTGCTTGTTGGAAGCCGTGCCTAGCGTGTCCGTGCCGTAGCTGCGATAGGACGTGGCCGTGGCGAAGGAGTTGGTGGTAGAGCTGAAGTCCTAGCGCCATGCCACCATGGGATAACCATGGCTGCCATGGCTTGTGAAAAATGTGTTTTTCCATGGAGAAATACAGGGAAACTTAATTAATGAAACTACTAGTATCATATCATATCGTATCATATCATATCGTATCGTATCATATCATATCATATCATATCATATCATATCATATCATATCAATCACCAAATTACATCTATCACCAAGTTCGTAGGATTTTGATGTGGATACAATGGGATATACTGATATACTATACCACGGTACCCAACAATCATGGTGGGGGATATGATGGGGATGTGGAAATATCATAACATATCCAACACGATAGAATCTATAAACCATGCTTAATGAGATACACCCGAGAAATCCCAATGCCATAACAACCATTTGGGGTTGTTAGATGATGTTTTTACCGAACATTAATGGAAATCTTGGGTATGATTTATTTAGAATGGAGTTTATGTGGTGGCTGGTTTCAATCCTGGTGAAGAGTATGCTGGTCGTTGGAGGTCATCATATTTCTATGGCTTAAACATGCGTAAACATAACAATATGTGAAACCATGTGAAACCACCAATCAGATATATAAAACACAAACAACAAATGGGGGTTTCTGATTCTGATTTATTTCGATCAAAAACTCCGTGATACATTGTCGAATCCCCAAACTGGGAGTCTGTTAATGCTCTCTGATCAATACATCCGTGAAACAATTGGGGCACGTGAATGTCTGGAATTTCTGATGGTTTCTCTCCCGTGGACAATTGGAACACTTTGGACCAGCATTGCGCACTTGAAGTGACAGGGTGCCTGCCAGCCGAACTTCTTCGAGACGTATCTTGGAGACCTGTCCACCAACCAGGGCTGAAACTTTGGTTCCTGTGAAGCATTTGCTGCATCCAGCAACCATTTGCAACCTCAAAAGGTATAAAATGTATATATAAAATGGTATAAATGGTGAGCAACTAATATCTGTAAAAGTGCGAGATGTTTCAAGCACTGTTGTCAAGCTGCAACTGTTGGCACCTTTTGCTGTTGCACGCACTCAATCTGTATGTTGTCAACAGGAGTTGACTCAAGGCCTTGAACCACAGGCCAGTGTTGATATGACATGTTGAATATGTACATTGACACGACCCCTCAGATGTTGGCTATGTTAGCCAGCAGATGTTGACTATATATTCTACATGGGTCTGTGTTCACTAAATGTTGCAACTAATGTTGAAACTATAAACATGTTGAAACTGAAACAGCATTTTGTTGACTACTCATGCATGAGTGTTGGTTCATCCTCTGTACAAATGCCGATGGCTTGGTTATCTTTATACACCTGTTGCAGCCGCAGGTGTTGGACGAAAAAACACTTGCTTAATTATGCGCACTTCAAGCTCTCATGTGTTGAGCGTCATGTTGCGCAGGGCTCTGTTGTTTTGGTGCTTCTGCACCGGGATGTTGTCTGAGCTCCACCCCTGTTGTGATCATTGTTGATCACTCTGCGTTGTTCTCTTCCATGTTGTCTTCCATGCCGGTTGGCTCACGATACTTGTTCACTTCATCGAAGTGCTGTTGGAGGTGCTCATCTGTTGATTGCTCCATCAGCCATAATGCCAGTGTTGAAGATCCCCTCAACCTCTCTGGTGTCTTCACACCAAAGTATTGGAATTGTTGTCCTCCTTCAAGGAGAGGATGCCACTTGTTGAGGATCATCCTGATTTTGGTCCTTGCTGCCTCTGGCAAGAATTCCAGTTGTTGAGTGCCACCGTACTGAATGGCTTGTTGAAGCATATAGATGAGATGTTGTGGGATCTCATCTCCAACTGTTGCCAAAATCACAGGAGTGTTGTAACTCCAAATGAAGTTGTTTGACCAGCTGAGCATGTTGAAGATGTCGAGGAACCCTTGTTCCCTGTTGAGTGCCCACAACTGTTGAGTGAGCAGTTCTGTTGACACAAAAATGGCTGCACAAAAAAAGGTTGAATACACGACTGTTGTCAACAAACGGTGTTGACATCATCATGCGTCACAAGACATGTTGACCTTCACGTTGGGAAGGATCTTGTTGAAATAAGTCATCCTGCAAAAAAGGAAATCATGTTGACTAAGTCAATGATGTTGATGCTGATAGTCGAAATAAATCACCATGTTGGGATTCCAAAAAAGGTCTTGTTGAAATACTG